TTAGATAAGGTATGAAATGTCTTATGTATGCCTTAGACTTGGTTGACAAATTATATATCGTATTTGACGATATTTTCTCGTTAATTTTAGGATGTGGCATTGGCCAAGCTCTTTGAAGAATGCGTCAAAAAAGATCAGAGGTTCGAAATGGTAAGGGAAGTCACCCTGGGACTAGCAAGTTTTAGACTGAAGGTGAGTTATATTCCCTTTTTCAGCCTTCTATGTTTTTTAACCCAGTGGTTTTCAACCTTCCTAATTCCGCGGGCCCTTTAATACAATTCCTCGTGTTGTGGTAATCCCCAACAACAAAACTATTATCGTTGCTACATCATAGCTGTACAGTATATGTGTTTTCCTATGGTCTTAGGCGACCCCAGGGAAAGGGTCCTTCGACCCCAAAAGGGGTCCTGACCCACAGGTTGAGAACCACTGTTTTTATATGAAATCTCAATACTCTCTGGGGTATCGCTCAACCAAGTGGCATTTCAGCACAACTTTTGATATAAATAGATAACAATGGAGAAAGTGTTTGTTTTTTTTAACATCTATTATTTAATAGATTATCCATAAGAATTTCCACTGAACCGTGGACAGATATCGTAACTAAAATATCATAAATAAATTTGATGCCAACGTCTACGTTTGTCTTGCCGCATAAACTGGATTCGTAATAATCACTTTAATGGATGTCCACATATTTTATTAACTGAGCACATTTTTCTTTGTTAAAACTCCATCAGGGTGACAATGAGGTCAATGAAAGACTTGTCGCCAAGATCAACCTGGACAGAAGGATCCACCTGGTGCCGTCTAAGATCAGAGAAACATTCTTCTTACGGTTTGCCATCTGCGCCATGGACTCCCAGGCGTCCGATGTGAAGTATGCGTGGGCTGTTATCCAAGAGCTGGCCGACACACTGGACCATGAAAACGGATATTAACCAATGTGCCGGTCAGAACCAAACTGGTGCAACGTCAGTCCGAGCAGTACGTCGTAGTAGTGGACCATTCTGGTCACGTGTCAGTTCAGATCTCAAATTTCAAACTTTCTTTGATAAATAATTGTCACGGATTGTTCTTTATTTTGTCTTTATTTTTTAAAAGAAAATTTTTTTTTTTCTTTTTTTTTTTTGGGTGTGGGGAAAGGAAAAACATAAAAATTCTTTTTTTTTACTCCCTTAAATAAAGAAAGAGATGGTAGCTAGAAAGTCTACAAAAACACGTTACGTTACTTATATTTGTTTGGAAATTCCTGCCGTCTCATTCCCTGAGATGAATCACAAATTAATTAATATATGACAGCTTTTGTAAATATTTCCTTTCTTCTACTTCATTTTATTTTTAAAAATGACCTGTTTCTTCTTCTTCTATACATTAGGGGCCCAGGATCAATGTATTGATCACCCACGATCAATGTATTGATCACCCACGATCAATGTATTGATCATTCTGGCTCCTATGTATGTAGAGAGGATTTGCAATGTTTCTGTGCCTGGTGTTGAAGAGGATATTTCACTGGTTGCAAGGAATGCTCGGTGAGGGTATCAGGAAATAGAGTTAGGAAGGCCTGAGGCAATGGACGCAAATGTCTCAAGTGTTCTCGCCTCAACTGTTATTTTGAGAGCTTGTTTCAGTCCCTGGTTGTATTTGGCAGGAATAAGCAGTTTCTGATATATATATATATATATATATATATATATATATATATATATATATATATATATATATATATATATATATATATATATATATATATATATATATATA